AGTGCTGCTGATGACGCAGTAAAAGACTCACCGTGAGCAGATCACCCCCACAAACACACAAGTAAAACACAGAATAAATGGACAGACACACACACACACACAGAGCGCAGTAAAACAGTGTAAAGAGACTCACTCCACATCGGTGTGCAGATCAGAGCCGAAGCTGACCCTGCCGGCCATCACTCCTGCAGCTCACGGACACACACACCTGATGCTCATCCTGCTGCTCAACACACACACACACACACAGAAGAATGCCAGAGATTAGAGTCGTATCATGTTCAAACCTGTCTGAGATTCGACACACACTCGGCTGTATGGAGATCTGAAGGTGTGGCACTGTTTATCAGCACAATAAAGTTACTGCGCTGATACCACGGTGAACAACTCAGTGTGTTTACAGACTTACAAACTCTGAAAAACCATGCAAAACACAAACAAAAACACAAAAACATCAGCTAAAATAAAAGTGTTAAAGAGAAAACGACTTCTTTTCTATCTGCATTGAATTTATTCACTTAATTTAATGTAAAAACACTTGATTTTCCACATAATGCCCACTAACATGTCTCCAGGGTTGAGTTTAGTTTACTTTTATTGTCCAAAACCCAAAAATCTTGTCAGACATTGTATCCCATGATTTGGCACTGTAGTTTTATTGAAGTTATTTGAAGATATGGTGTATTTAATTTGCTTAATACGTGTATACATGTAGTCAAGTTTCACCTGAACACAACAAATGTGATGTTTTATCTTCAAACCTTCATTAACCAACAGCACAACACTTACAATGACACAATCAGTAGAGGAAACTAGAGGAACACGAGCTGCTGCTCCTCTAAACACACACACACACACACACACACACACACACACACACACACACACACACACACAAAAAATACACCAACACACACATAAGGACATACACACAGAGACACACAAGAATGCACACACACACACTAACATACACAGACAGATACACAAATAAGTACGCACACACACACACTTAAACACAAAATACAGTCACACACACTAATATAAACACACAAGTGCGCACATGCACACACACAAAAACACGTACATAAAAGCATGTCCACACACAAACACAAAACACACATACACATATGCGCGCAAGCACAGACACACACACATACACACACACATAAGCATGCGCACGTACACAGTAACATAAAAAAATACAAACACACACACACACAAGAATGCACACACACTAACATACACACAGACACACAAATATAAGTGCACACACTCCCAAATACAAAAATCAACAGACAGAGTTTGTGTGTGTGTGAGATGAGTTACAGGGGGAAAACTTATGGAAACACTAAGCTGATGAAGAAAACAAGAAGCAGAGTGTGTGTGTTTTCCTGGCACTGACATCAGTGTTTACATCAGTCTGTGGTCAAAAGACATTTCAAAATCGTTCCATAGAAGATCTTAAAGATCTTAAGACACACACACACACACACACACACACACACACACACACACACACACACACACACACACACACACACACACACACACACACACACACACACACACACACACACACACACACACACACACACACACACACACTAGGGCTGCAACTAATGATTATTTTAACAATTGATTAATCTGTCGATAATTTTTTTTGATTCATCGGATAAAAAAACCCAAGAAAAGCATTCATTTCATTCTCCTCCTTGCATTTAGATCCCTAAATAGCCTAGCACCCCTCTATCTCTGCAACATGCCTGTCCCCTACACCCCAACTCGTTCATTATGTTCTGCTGGCTCTGGCCTTCTGGCTGTCCCTCGGTATCGCCTCTCTTCAATGGGGGACAGATCATTTAGTGTTCTTGCACCCAAACTCTGGAACTCTCTACCACGCTCACTCCGCTCTGCTAATAATATCTCTGAATTCAAATCCTTACTTATTTTTCTGAATGCGTCACTTCTGATCTACCAAACTGACCACTTTATCTGATCCACCTCCACTCTGCTCATTTGTCTCCTAGGTCTTAAACCCCACATAAAAGTGATTTCTGCATAATAGGTGTCCTTTAATATAATAAGTAGACCTCAGAGTAAAGTACTAAATAAAAGACACTTCATGAACTACTTTTGCTTCTAATAAGGCAGTGGACAAATGTAGTGTACAGCCTGAATGCAATGTAAATGAAAGCATCTGCCGAATGCATTAATGCACAACAGATGTTAAACTGCACTGAGAGACTGAGAGTGGACTGCATTACGAGTGTGGGAGTGCTCATACGGCTCTCTAGGGGATGAATATGTGGTTTGAAACAAGTCCAGGGGAGGGGGATTTATATAAGACACGGCCATTGTGTGAGAACAGCAAACAGAAGAGCCAGAAACAGATCAGATTACTCGAGCACATCTGGAACTGCAGGAAAAAGTAGAGTAGAGGGTCACATTACACAGAAACCGCTCTGGAAATGAAGGAAATAATGAGCACACTGCAGAAAATGCTGAGCTGTTTTTTTTGTTTCGAGTCCAAATGTCTCAGAATTCTTCAATCAAGACATTTTTCAAGACAAGCAAATCATACTGTGGTGTTTTCAGAAATAATGAGTCAAAATTAAGTGAGTTTTTAATTAAAACAAGCAAAATAATCTGCCAATGGAGGGGAAAATAATAATCTAGTTTTTCCTTTTGGCATTTGATTATTTCACTTATCTTAATTGGCTAATTATTTAGCTTGTTTTAATTAAAAACTCACTTAATTTTGACATATTGTTCTTTAAAACAAGACTACATGTTTTGCTTGTCTAGAAAATATTTATTGATATATTTGGACAAGAAACCAGACAAAAAAATAAGGTAAAGGGGTAAAGAGCAGCAGCAGAAGCTTCACATTCATTCACCTGAACGCAAAGACTGAATCAGACACAATGGGTTTTGTTCGGTTTGCAGTGCATGACGAATGACACACAATATCTGCCAGAATTCATTCAAACTAAAACACAAGCATCCTTTCAGATCGCACTTTAATTGTATTCTGATCTCATTCCCATAAATGCACACATTTATTTCTGCAGAGAAAAAACGAGACTTTCATCTGTTTTAAATGCTTCCTGCCTCCTCCTCGTTGCTTGTGCATCAGCAATCCACTATAAAATCTCCAAATACTTCGATATTAAAGTACATCATCTGCATCTAAATACATTTTCAGACAGGATATAAGATATGGTTGAAATTAAAATAATGAAAGACCAGCAAAGACAAAATGATTAAAATATAAAAATCAGATTCTAGTTTAAATTTAACACAAGCCTATGAAATGTGTGGCAAATAAACCTGAATTTTGACTTTTGGGCTGTTTAAATATTGCTGAGCTCCCTACCTAGACAGCTTGTCTTTGCATCAACAAATAACAAAAAGACTTTGGATGTTACGCAGTAAATATATCATATTTAAATTCCAGATTTTAGGTGTTTAAGTTAAAGAAGCTAACAAACTCCAAGTAAAACATACTATGGTAGTTGTACTATGACTTTATTTATAGTAGTATCAATATTCTTAAATAAAGACATTTGCAAACATCAGGTGGTTTTAAACCCATATAAATAAATGTAATTTCTCAATAGAGGTAAAGTGAGTTTTATATTCGCACAGTCTCTATATTGTTTACCGTGTTACTTTAAATATTCGATCAGAATTAGCATGCAAATATGACTGGAAAACAACATTAACACTGTTTATTTGACTGTGTACAATGTTGTACTTTGATAGTCGTTGGTTGCTAATATGATTGCGCTATTTAGAGTTTGCAAATTATTCTTTTATGAAATTACATTATTAAGGTTGAAGTCCAAATGTGCGAAAATAAAAACAACTTTACCTCTATAATTTCTCACTGTACACTTGGTGGTTGATTCACAACCTAGTGAGCTCCCCAAGTAGAGAACATACATCAATCTCCCCCAAAAAACTTCTGACACCGATTAAGTCTAATATTTACACAATACTCAATTATTTTGATCAACAAAAACCAAACAGAAGTAGTTTTACAATGCTTTTGTTGTTTGTTTTGGTGGTTTACCACGACAATATCAAGTTCACATAGGATAACACCACTCGATTCTCAATCAAATTGACTGACATTGTAAACCCTGCAACAAATAACACTTTAAACTTGACCTTTGTGTTTTAAATTCAGTTTAGTTGACAAATAATACGATGTTTTGAGAGATATACATATGTGGCATACATATATGGCACGATTATATACACAATATAAACAATATATGAATGTGGAGCTCATTTAGTATGATGTATAGTCGAGTAACACTGATCATGTGGAAAAAAACAGGAGTTTGTAACTAAACTTTTATTATTATGCTGCTGTTGTTTTTACACCTGCCAAAATGACTCGCTGAAGTTCCTGATCGCCTCAAACGCTCATGTTCCCACACTCACATAAACTTTCTATTGTCAGTTTTCCTCTTGCGGATGATTCAAACTCAGTTACCATCGTTTTAATCACTCATATATGAAGTAAATAAGCTGTAACTCACCACAGCTCGAGTCAGGTCGCCGAACACAAACTTCACAAACTTCTAATGAGCGTCGAACCGACTGAACTGCAGATAGAAACACGAGTCGGTTCATTTGAACGGTCAACCGCTACAACATTTGAAGTCCCACTAATACAGCGCTCATTGAGAATCGGTTCAACTGAATTATCGTAAAGATCCGACTCGAACGAAATCGCTTGGACTGAGTCACTTTCGTTTCCGTAGGGGGGGGAGACATGATTTATTATTTAATACAAAAACACTGTGATGTTTTATAAACAGGCAAAGCATGTAATGAGTGTTAAGTAGACTAATCATTACGTTACATAAATAAATAACACTAAGATATATGGATTACCGCGCTCACTTAAAATGGTACGAGCCGACTCATTGTTAAGTTGACTGAACTCATACTACTCTGATAAAAGTTTGATTATAACTCAGCATGATGTTTAATCAATCTCTGATTATGGACAGTGGAGGTATAATGAATGAGATGAGCTATAAGCAGAGATCAGTCAGTGTTTGTGGAGTTCAGTTCAGAGGATGTGATGCTCCTGTGGTCTGATCACTCATCTCGGTCCTTCAGTTTCTGTCTTCAGACCTCACTGAAGGAAAAGTCAATCATGATTGACACACAGAGGATGTGAGTCTGCAAACAGCACTGGGCTTCTCTCTGGTGGTTTGAGAATGATTTGTTTCATGAGGTTCTTTGGTGATGACGTCATGCTTTTCCATTAACAGCTGCATGCCTGTAAACACCAACCACAACACAGCACAATACAACACCACAACACAGCACAATGCAGCACTGCATCACTCTGCTCTGAGATTATTAGTTTAGCTGCATAAGGAGTATGTGGGGTTCCCATGATAGAGGATAATAATAAAATATACAACATCACACATGCCCAAGGTTTGAGGTTCGATTCCCAGTGAATGCATTGATGTGAAATGAAATATGCCTTTAGCACAATGTCATTTGCTTCAGATCAGGGGTGACAAACAGCCCTGCTGGGCTTATTTCTACCTCAATACACACACCCTGTAGCTTTAAAATATGCCTGAATGACTGGATGAGCTGGATCAGGAGTGTTTAATAGGATCGGTCATAAACTGCAGAGCTGTGGCCTCCAGCAGTCTGAAACATCAGCTTTGGATTAAAGTTTCTGCTAATTGCATGAATATGTATCCAGATACAGGAATGCAGGATCCATTAACTTATTTTCTTATCTCAATATTGCTGTGATGGATAATCATAACAGTATAAACTTTACATATTTCTGTAGCTCAATGAGTTAGCATCATGCATGAACTTTACACAAAACATTTGCATATTTTCCACCCACTTTAACATGAAATATTAGCATATTCTCCGCCCCACTTAAACATGAAACATTAGCAAAGGGTCTGCCCACTTGAACATGAAACATTAGCATAATCCCCACCCACTTTAACATGAATCATAAGCATATTCCCTCCCTCTTAAACATGAAAATGTTAAATATTAGCATATTCTACTTAAACATGACCTCTCTGGAGAGAAATTTTAAACATGGAGCAATCGCTTGCTTTTAAAAATGTCTAATAAGCTTATTTAATCTCGCCCCTTTTCTTAGCGCCGCACAACAGAATATCGCATGCTCAAACTCTAATGTGACCGCAGCTTAAAACATGAAACATTAGCATATTCCCTGCCCACTTGAATATGAACATTTTAAACATTAGCATATTCTACGCCTAACTTAGACAACAAACATTAGCATATTCCCTGCCCACTTCAATATGAAAATTAGCATACCATCCACCCACTTGAACATAAACATTAGCATATTCCCTGCCCACTTGAACATGAAAATGTTAAATATTAGCATATTCTACGATTAACTTAAACATGAAACATTAGCATATTCCTGCCCACTTAAACATGAAACATTAGCATACAATCCACCCATTTAAACATGAATCATTAGCATATTGCCCACCCATTTAAACATGAAACATTAGCATATTCCTGCCCATTTAAACATGAAACATTAGCATATTCCCCACCCATTTAAACATGAAACATTAGCATATTACCCACCCATTTAAACATGAATCATTAGCATATTACCCACCCATTTAAACATTAAACATTAGCATATTACCCACCCATTTAAACATGAAACATTAGCATATTCCTGCCCACTTAAACATGAAACATTAGCATACAACCCACCCATTTAAACATTAAACATTAGCATATTGCCCACCCATTTAGACATGAAACATTAGCATATTCCTGCCCATTTAAACATTAAACATTAGCATATTACCCACCCATTTAACCATGAAACATTAGCATATTGCCCACTCATTTAAACATGAAACATTAGCATATTACCCACCCATTTAAACATGAAACATTAGCATATTGCCCACCCATTTAAACATGAAACATTAGCATATTACCCACCCATTTAAACATGAAACATTAGCATATTGCCCACCCATTTAAACATGAAACATTAGCATATTCCCCACCCATTTAAACATGAAACATTAGCATATTGCCCACCCATTTAAACATGAAACATTAGCATATTACCCACCCATTTAAACATGAAACATTAGCATATTACCCACCCATTTAAACATGAAACATTAGCATATTGCCCACCCATTTAAACATGAAACATTAGCATATTCCCCACCCATTTAAACATGAAACATTAGCATATTGCCCACCCATTTAAACATGAAACATTAGCATATTCCTGCCCACTTAAACATGAAACATTAGCATATTCCTGCCCATTTAAACATGAAACATTAGCATATTGCCCACCCATTTAAACATGAAACATTAGCATATTGCCCACCCATTTAAACATGAAACATTAGCATATTGCCCACCCATTTAAACATGAAACATTAGCATATTGCCCACCCATTTAAACATGAAACATTAGCATATTGCCCACCCATTTAAACATTAAACATTGGCAGATTTCTGCCCATTTAAACATAAATCATTAGCATATTCCCCACCCAACTTTAACATTATCATATTCCCAGCCTATTTTATCATAAATCATTAGCATAATCCCGCCCCCTTTAAGCAGAAACATAGGCACTTTATGTGGTGTATATGCATGTAGTCATGAATCTGTTGTTAATTGTGTGTGTGTGTGTGTGTGTGTGTGTGTGTGTGAGCATGTTAAACTGAAAACCAGAAAGTGTAAATAAGAGCCTAAAGATCTATACACACACACACGCAAATACACACACACACACCTTCATGTCTTGATTGTGCAGATATTATAAGTCGTCTGAAAGTCAGAGTTGGGCTGATGATGCGATGCGACACCCACTTGCTGATCACATGACTTCCTTTGTGAAACACAGAGAACAGACCAAGAGAACAGAAGTCATACACTGAAGCCTTTCTGTGTATGTGTGTTCGTGACTATAGGAAGAGTGTGTGTGTTTGCGAATATGTGGAGTGTGTGTGTTTGTATATATGAAGAGAGAGTGTTTGTGAATATATGAAGGCACACATTGACATATAATGGAGAGAGAAGACAAGACAATCACTTTCCAGAGACTTCTATCAGGTAAAGTGTGTGTGTGTGTGTGTGTGTGTGTGTGTGTGTGTGTGTGTGTGTGTGTGTGTGTGTGTGTGTGTGATACTGTGAAAGTCTCCATCATTAATAACTGACACTAATGTGCTGTATATTGTATAATTTCTCCTTGTGGTTCAATGATTTATGGGTCATTTAGATGTACTACTAGAGAAAGTTGTCTTCTTCCTGTTGATCTGCTTCTTTAAGCGCATCATTAATATCTCAGGGGGCTTTTCCTGGATATAAATATCATCACATTTTGGCTGCATGAAACAAACAAATTTGCATTATTCTTGTAATCTCATCAAGTTAAATATGATCCATTAACATTAATGATTAATTAAATACATGAGCAGTGCTTCACCAGGATTTTTGTCAAAAGGTGGAGGTGGTTTAACATTTGATGGAGGAATCTTTGCAGGAAAGACCCCAATAAAAACTGAACTGCATTAGGAGTCAGTGCTTTAATTCATTTCTAGTGTCTGAGTGCATCAGTGCGCACTATCATATTTAAAGTGTATTAAATTGCTTAACAAAAAGGTCACTAGTTTGAGTCTCGTCTGGGTCAGTTGGTGTTTCTGTGTGGAGTTTGCATGTTCTCCCCGTGTTGGCGAGGGTTTCCTCCGTGTGCTCCGGTTTCCCCCACAGTCCAAACACATGTGCTATAGGGGAACTGATCAACTAAATTAGCGGTTGTGTATGAGCGTGTGAATGAGTGTGTATGGGTGTTTCCTCAGTACTGGGTTGCAGCTGGAAGGGCATCCGCTGCGTAAAACATATGTTGGATTAGTTGGTGGTTCATTCTGCTGTGGCGACCCCTGATTAATAAAGAGACTAAGCTGAAAAGAAAATGAATGAATGACTTAGGAAGGCAAAGGTCAGAGCAGGGACAGTCAGGAGCATGCAGGTAATCCAAAACGCATAGTCAGAGTACAGGTGAACGGTCGGGACAGGCGGGAAAAAAAACTTAAATAGAAAAACAAACTGAAGATCAAAAACCACAACAACGCCAGGAAAACACTTTGTGCTGCTCACTTACAGTTGACAAGACTCAGCAAAGAGTGTGTGTGTGAAAGAGGTGTCTTTATAGTGCTGGTCCATCATGAGCTTCCAGCTGTGTGTGTGTAATCAGGGGGAATCAGGAGCTGGTGTGTGAGTGCAAAGACTTCTGGGATTTGTAGTTTATTTCAGTGGTAGAATTGATTGCGGGTGATAGTGCATGTTTTCTAGCGATCTGCACAGACTAGATCGCTGGTGATTGTCACAATAATATTGCTGTTGTTTTTTTTTTTAAATGATAAACTTTTATATATTGTTTTTTTTTTTTTTTTTACATTTTTGTAATACTTAAATTACCATTAAAACTGATTATTCTGATTATTATTTTATGCAAGGAAATATAATCTTTAAAAATATCTATTATTTATATATTATATGAACAACATAAAATAATCTTAAAAATAAAAAAACAAACATAAAAATAATATTAAATTAAATATGAACATGTTGGAATGAGTCGCTGTTGTCGTTTTAATTGTTCTTATTTTTATATTTTCATTTGCTGTATTCATTTTAACTTCAGTTATGATTTAACTTAGATTATTACATTTCATTATATTACATATTTTACATTTTATTTTACTATATATTCATTTTATTTCAGCTTTATTTCTAGTAGAAGAACAAAAAATACTTTATTACTAGTGATTTGGTTTTGTGATTTTATTATCTTGCCTTATTACATATCAATTTTATTTCAGTTTTTATTAATAATTTATTCATTTATTTATTTTATTTATCATTTATTTTTACATTAATTTAATAAAAATATTTAGTTCTAGTACAAAAAGTTAAATACACAGCATGTTCTCCCCGTGTTGGTGTGGGTTTCCTCCGGGTGCTCCGGTTTCCCCCACAGTTTAAACACATGCGCTATAGAGGAACTGATCAACTGAACTGACCGTAGTGTGTGTGTGTGTGTGTGAATGAGTGTGTATGGGTGTTTCCCAGTACTGGGTTGCAGCTAGAAGCGCATCCACTACGTAAAACATATGCTGGAATAGTTGCCGGTTCATTCCGCTGTAGCGACCCCTGATGAATAAGGGAACTAAGGCGAAGAAAAATGAATGAATAAATTTTTGGTAACACTTACGTTGTGCTTGTAAACATTAGTTAATGCACTGAAGCATTAACATTTAACTTAAATAAACGTTAACAAAGATGAATAAAGATGAATAAATACTGTAATAAATTTACTGCTAATAAATGTAGCACTAAAGGTTTGTTTATGTTAGAAAGTACAACATAAATCAATGCACCGTTCTTTTAAAGTGTTGCCAGATTTTTTTTAATTAAAAATTGTTGAAATAAATCTTGTTTAATTTATTGTGTGTATTGCCTCTTCTAGTTGAATCACTGAATGCCTCCTCAATTGTTTGTCGCTTTAGACATTGACTAAATGTAATTTAATATGTAAAGTAAACTTTGATTCAGCAAGAGGGGTTTATTCTCACCTATGTTTGTGTTTTGTTTTTGTGCAGATGAGAGCTACAGCTCGGATCTGTCCAGCGACTCCTGTGAATATTATCAGACGGAGATCTTCGGCTTGTTGCCGAGCACACAGACTCATCGTCGAGCACACGCTGATGACATCACACATGATCAGAACGAGAGGCTGCGATTGGACAGAATCTGCTGGAACCCCAATGTGCCGCTCAGAAACCTGCCCGTCTGCCTGCAGGACAAGAGGGACATCAGGTGAGCACACAAACACACACACACACACACACGCATGCACGCACGCACACACACACACACAAACGCACACATGCACACACGCACACATGCACACACATTAAAGAATGATCTAGTCTTTTTTAGTCTAAAGTGAAATTTAATCAAATTATATTTTATTATTATAACTTTGCATGTTTAAAATAACAAAAAAAACTCATTAAAATCTTAATTAAAATCCTGGACAACTAAAATTAATGCAAAATCTGTTTGTGCCAATCAGAGATCGGCAGCACCTTCAGAAACGCAGCATTGGCTCCTGGGACGCGTGGAGGCGGAGCCAGCAGACCACAAGGCGTCGCTTAAAAGAGCAAGTGGGCAGGGCCGTGTCAGGACTGTTGCCATGGAGACACATGATCCATAGAATTGAAGGTGATTGTAGCTGCGTCTTAAATTACACACTATATGCTTATGCACTTATACACCCAAACTGTGTAGTGTAGTTTAGTGTTGTCCCAAATAAAACACTAACATGTTTTGATTAAACAGAAATTGAATCTGTTTCCCAGACGCAACTATACTATTTGTGTTTATACTACACTATAGTGAAGAATAGTACTTAAGCATGCGATTTGTGACGCACCTTGTAAGTGTTGATAAAAACTAAGTATGAGACGTAAATTCAGAATTACAAAAAAATATATATTTTTGAAATGTAAACTCATAATTACAAACAAAAAAACTTTTGAGACGTGATTTCAGAATTCCGAGAAAAAAAATATTTGGAGATACAAACTAAAAATTATCGAAAACTAATTATTTTGAGATGTGAAATTGATTTTGAGAATCCAAACATAGAATTACATAAAAATGCTACTTCTAGGTGTAAACTCAAAATTACGAGAGAAAAAAATGTATTAGAAAGATTCAAACTCAGAATTATCGAAAAATACTACTTTTTAGACAAACTCAGAATTTCTAAAAAAATTACATTTGAGAGATTCAAACTCAAAATTATTGAAAAATAATATATTTTAGAGGTGAACTCCGAATTACAGGAAAAAATACGAGAAAATAAACATTTTTGAGAAATACATACATAGAATTACGTAAAAATGCTACTTTTAGACGTAAACTCAGAATAAAAAAAAACACATTTGAGAGATTAAAACTAAGAATTCTCGAAAAATACTACTTTTTAGTCGTAAATTTTTAATTACAGAAAAAAAACACAATAATTTTTTTTTTTTAAAAATACAAAGAATGACGTAAAAATACTACTTTTAGGCGAAACTCAGAATTACAAAAAACTTTTAAAAAAATACAAAAATAATTACGTAAAAATGCTCAAAATTATGAGGAAAAAAATACATTTGAGAGAATCAAACTCAGAATTATCGAAAAATGCAACTTTTTAGACGTAAACTTTGAATTACAGAAAAAATACGAGAAAAATTTTTTTTTGAGAAAAACAAAGAATTACGTAAAAATTCAACTTTTAGGCGTAAACTCAGAATTTCGAGAGAAAAAAAAACATTTTTGAGAAATCCAAAGTATTATGCAAAAATATTACTTTTAGACGTAAACTAAGAATAACAAAAAACCTTTTTGAAAAATACAAAAAGAATTACGTAAAAATGCTACTTTTAGGCGTCAGAATTACGTATAAAACACTTTTTTATAAGGAAAATATACATTTGAGAGATTCAAACTCAGAATTATCGAAGAATACTACTTTTTAGATGAAACTCGGTATTACAAAAAAAACATTTTGAGAAAAACAAAGAATTTCGTAAAAATACTACTTTTAGACATAAACTCAGAATTACGAGAAAAACACTTTTCAGAACTACAAACATAGAATTTCATAAAAACACTACTTTTAGACGTAAACTGATAATTATGAAAAAAACACTTTTTTCAGAAATAGAAACACAGAATTACCTTAAAATATTATTTTTAGACGTAAACTCAGAATTACAAGAAAACCTTTTGATGCTGGTTGGATGACAGGTTATCTGTGTATCTGTCCTCAGGTCAGTTTGGTGTGGGAGTGAAGGCGTATTTTGTGTTTCTGCGGTACCTGCTGGGTCTGAACCTGCTGTACTGTGTGATCATTGGTGGATCGGTGCTGGTGCCAACACTGGTGTACAGAGGCGAGTCCACTGAAACCCAGAATCCAGACTGGAGCTCACTGTATAAAGACATGTTTGTGGGATCAGTAGGTGTCTTTTACATTATATCTGCAGATTTTGGTGACTTGTTAGTTTGCAGTTCTGATCATGTCATTGATTTGTATAGATGCTACTTTTCACCTTTTTATACATATAAAAGTAGCCGCGACTTTTGATCTCACGATTCAGACTTTTCAAAGTGCAATCTTACAGTATAGCTCATATTAAAAAACAAATTCATGCAAAATTATGGCCAGAAGTGTGAGATGTGAACTTAAAATTACATAAAAAACACAGACTTTCAAGATAAAAACTTAAACTCACTCAAACCCAGATTTGTGCATAAAAAATTATTGATATAACCGCCTACTACTTGCAATGTATAAACCCTGAATTAGCCAACAGAGGTCAGAATTGTGAGATAATGGATATAGAATTGTGCGCATATAAATAAAAGTCTGTAAATTAAAATACACAATTTTGGTCGTCAGATTTACGCATGCCAACAGGGTCAGCGTCTGATGTTATCCTGACCTCAGTTTTCAGCTCCAGCATTCTGCAGCTCTTCTTCTTCTCCTCTGCTGTGTGTGTGTTTTCAGGGTGTTCTAGAAAAGTCTGCAGTCTTCCACAGTTTCTACACTCGTGGCTCTCTCGATGGTGCCTGTTTAAACACTCCACTCCTCTTTCTGCTCGGCATGGTCTCCATCATCTTCCTCAGCATCATCATGCTGGTGCGCAGGTCAGATCATCTACTGTTCTGATAATACACTGATTATTATTGATTCAAGAAAACATGCAGTTGTTGCTCGTGACCACTAAGTGGCGCTATAACTATAGACTATGTCACAGGTGTCAAACTCAGTTCCAAAAGCTCTGCACAGTTTAGTTCCAACCCTAATTAAACACACCTGATCAAACTAATTGAGTCCTTCAGGCTTGTTTGAAACCTACAGGTAAGTGTGTTGGAGCAGGGTTGGAAATAAACTGTGCAGGGCTTCGGCCCTCCAGGAATTGAGTTTGACACCCCTGTCATTAGATTTAGTTAAAGGCTTCATTTCTGCTAACATAATGAACCAGTATAGAAATCTAATATGTATATGGCAACATAGGATATAACGTATACACATAATTCATGTTTGGATTTCAAATTAATAAAAATATACTGAATATATTATAAATATACATACATTTCAAAATCTAACATTTTTACAAATATTGCTGCTATTATATATAATGTGTGTTCAAAAATATTAGCAATGATTTAATACACACGTTCACACACTCACCGGCCACTTTATTAGGTACACCTGACTAGTACTGAGTTGAACCCGTTTTGCCTTCAGAGCTGCCTTAATCCTTGCTGGCAGAGATTCAACAAGCTGCTGGAAATATTCCTCAGAGATTTTGCTCCATATTGTCATGATAGCATCACACAGTTGCTGCAGATTTGTCGGCTGCACATCCATGATGCCAATCTCCCGTTCCACCACATCCCAAAGCTGCTCTATTGGATTGAGCTCTGGTGACTGTGGAGGCCATTTGAGTACAGTGAACTCATCGTCATGTTCAAGACACCAGTCTGAGATGATGGCGGCGTTGACACCATGCTCAATTGGTACTAATGGAGCCAAAGAAAATCTCCCCCACACCATTACACCACCACCAGCAGCCTGAACCGCTGATACAAGGCAGGATGATCCATGCTTTCATGTTGTTGAGGCCAAATTGTGAGCCGAGCATCCGAATGTGTCAGCAGAAATGGAGACTCATCAGAGCAGCAACGTTTCTCAAATCTTCTATTGTCCAGTTTTGGTGAGTCTGTGTGAATTGTAGCCTCAGTTTCCTGTTCTTAGCTGACAGGAGCGGCACCCGGTGTGCTCTTCTGCTGCTGTAGCCCATCCGCCTCAAGGTTGGACGTGTTGTGTGTTCAGAGATGCTCTTCTGCAGAGCTCGGTTGTAGCGAGTGCTTATTTGAGTTACTGTTGCCTTTCTATCAGCTGGAACCAGTCTGGCCATTCTCCTCTGACCTCTGGCCTAATCCCAGTAGATCAGCAGTTTCTGAAATACTCAGAGCAGCCTATCTGGCAGAACAATCATGCCACGTTCAAAGTCTCTTAAATCCCCTTTCTTCTCCTTTCTTGACCATATCAACATGCCTAAATTCATTGAGTTGCTGCTATGTGATTGGCTGATTAGACATTAGTGTTATTGAGCAGTTGGACAGGTGTACCTAATAAAGTGGCCGGTGAGTGTATTTGGCCATTTATCAGATGTCCATATAGGGAGTTACATGGTACTGGAAAAATTAAAACGGCGGAAAAAAATTTAATTTAATGTATTTACTGCAATATATTTTGCATTCCCACAAGAAACTCTGCAATCACTCACAAACAATTTGAGAATGCAACTAGTAAAGAACTAATTAATGAAGTGATCTATTCATTTAAATGTAAACAAAGTTTCTCAAAGAGCTTGTTTTGGAGTTTTTTACTTGCAAAACTCTGCAATCAAATGTGTTTCCCAGTAGAAAATAAGAGTTTTGTAAGTAAAAGCCAAGTTTCTATAGGGAATGCAAATGATTTTCAATTTTAGGGGAACTAACTCTTTAAAAAATGTGTAAAGCATCTTACGGCATGCAAACATTTTGCAAGGAAGTACCAATCGTCTTGAGGGAATGCCAAAGTTTTGCAAGTAAATGCACAGTTTAATGATCTTAAAAGGACAGTTCACCCAAAATGAACATATCCTCATTATTTACTCACACTTTTTGTTGTAGGTTTTACACCTTTATGAGTGTCTTTCTTTTATTAAACACAAATGAAGATATTCCGAAGAATGTTGGAAAAAGCAGCCATTGACATCAATAGTACAGACATACTATGGAAGTCAAGGGCTGTTATTTCTTCAGTTCATCTTCTTTTATGTTTAAATGAAGAACAGAATTGACATTTTTGGTGATCTGTCCCTTTAAGGGAACACAAAAGTTTTGTTCTGGAAACATCCTCAAATGCAGTTCACTATAACGCAAAGGTTTTGGCAGGGAATGTGATGTTTTAGGGACAAATGTAATGTTGGTATTGCCGTTTTCTCTCCTATCTCATATTTTGTCCATCACCCTTCAGCATCCTCAAGCACTGACGTCAGTGTGAACTCTCTCTTTCAGGACGGTGGTGGGCTACAAACACTCGTGGATCACTGGCAAACACTTCAGCTCTAATCTGAGCTATAAGGTTTTCTCTGGCTGGGATTTCAGCATTCAGAGCCCTCAAGCAGCGTCACTGAAACAGAACTTCACCAGAAACGAGCTCAAGGTGAACAGCGACCTGAAGTGTTATAGTAACTCACAGTATTTACAAATCTATTCATGACTATTGTGAACTGAAACATTCTTTTAATGAACTGTAGTGCTTTTAATACTGCAGTATGACCTGACATGCTGTAATGAATACTGTAGTATACTTTAGTTTTTACCACAGTAAACAGTGTTGTATTGCAGTATGATATACCCTATAGATGTAGAAAACTACAGTATTGGCTCATTTGTTTATATTATTTAAATATTATAGTTTTATCTCCATGGCAAACAATACAATCACCACAACAGATGGATTACTACATCTACAGTATTTAACTGGCTGACTGAATGAATGTGCTGACCTCTGACCTCTTCTCCAGATGGATCTAGAAGAGCAGGCGTTTCATGCACGGGTCAAGCAGCGAACGCTCACACAGTGGGTTCGGCTCGTCCTCTTCCGGATCCTTCTGAACCTGGCTGTGCTGTTTCTTCTGACTGGTTCATTCGTGCTGATTTATTACGCCATCCACCTGCAACAAAGTGTACACATACATGATATAAATAAACACGATTAAAGCTACACCATGCAACATTCAGCATAAAACTACACGTGATTTACAGTGTTTTGGTCCACACCTGCTAAATTGAGATCTGAGAGTGTGTTAGTCAGGTGTGTGTCCTCCTCAAGCGTCTCCTGTGTGCAGCACTAGTGTCCTCCACATCTCCTTCTCCTTCTGTTGTGTTCTGATGTGATGCCTGACTGTTGTATCTGTGTAATACCTCTAATAATTTAAGTAACCGCCGCTCTAAACCTGCCGGAACTACTTTAGCTGTGTCTTTAATAACCAAACATCTTAGAATGCTCATCAGCCAATCAGAATCAAGCATTCGGCAAACACATGCTATAAATATGTATAAATATTAGGCTGCAGAGTGTAGCTTTAATAAATGGTGTATATAATCATATTTGTTGAATGGGTAATGTCCAGCCATCATTCTCTCTCTCTGTTTTCTTCTTCAGTGCACTGATGAATCGACTGAGTGTGTGATGTTGAAGTATTTACCTCCGATCACCATGACTTTGATAAACATCGCTTTGCCGCGCATCTTTACTAAGATCTCAGAGTTTGAGGATTATTCACTGACGATACAGCTCAACCTCACTCTCATCAGGTCAGACAGCTCTTTGACTCTGCTGTGTTATACAGTACAGTGCAGTATGTTCCTGTGGTGTTTAATTAATGTTTACTGACTCCATACACAGGAGTATTTTCCTCAAGTTGGCGTCTTTGAGCATCTATCTGTTCTTCTTCATTTGTGCTGATAAAGATTACCAGGTTGGTTCACAAACATTCGGCATGGAGATTACATTACTGTTGTAATGCCTCCTTTTTGTTTTTCTTATGTTTGTATTTGTTTTTAGTTCTGTCAGTTTGGCCAGAAAAAAAAGACCTTGAAGCCCTCGCAACATAACAGGACTATCCTGGTAAAAAACTGAAGGACACATCATCAGTTCAACAAAATAATAGTTATTTTTATAAAACAATGTGCTAAAATAGTCTGTGCTGACGAGATCTTTCAGCGTCCTCTTCTTGTTTGTGTGTTTATCAGTGCGAAGAGAACGAGTTTGGGAAGGAGATGTACAAACTCACCATATTTAACCTCCTGGAGGGTTTCTTCAGTGCGTTTTGTGTGGCCTACCCGAGAACGTGAGTTACTGTACTGAATTCCTTAGTCAATTCCTTCTTGAATATCGAATAATAATAATAATCAAAGTTCCTTAAAGGCAAGTAATTTCACCCAGCAGTCATCTTAGAAACACCTGTCAGTTGAAACAAACACCTATCAGTCAGTAATGATCAGTGTTAGCTCAACCCACTCACCCCACATCAAATGACTCTGCTTTAATAATAATAATAATAATAATAATAGAAATAATAGCTGAGGGGCGGCACAGTAGCTCAGTAGTCAGCACTGTGGCCTCAAAGCAAAAAGGTTACTGGTTTGAGTCTTGGTTGGGTTAGTTTCTGTGTGGAGTTTGCATGTTCTCCCCTTATTGGCGTGGGTTTCCTCCGGTTTTCCCTAAAGTTCAAACACATGCGCTATGGGGGAACTGATCAACTAAATTGGTCGTAGTGTATAAGTGTGGGTATAACTGTGTATGGGTGTTTCCCAGTACTGGGTTGCAGCTGGAAGGGTATCTGCTGTGTGAAACATACGCTGGAATAGTTGGAGGTTAACTCCGCTGTGGCGACCCCTGATAAATAAATGGACTAAGCCAATAGAGAATGAGTGAATGACTGAATGCGTATTAGCTGATGACTGTGTTTTGTTGTGTAGGTTTCTAGTGGAGAAGTTCCCCTCCTCGAGGCTGGCGCAGATTTTAGGCAATAATCAGTTTGAGATCACCTTGAATGTGCTGGATCTGGTCAACAGTCAGACGGTCATGTGGGTCGGTGTGTTTTACTGCCCGCTGCTGCCCGCCATCAGCACCCTCAGACTGCTGATCCTCTACTACATCAAGAAGGTTTGATCCATCTCAGTACATCTGCATACACAGTCACAATTACTAGCCCTCCTGGAGAATTTATAAATTTTTATTGATGTTTCAAAGAAACAAGATTTGTTTTTCCAACACATTTTAAACATAATACTATTAATAAATTATTTAAAACTATTTTTTTGTCTTTGCCATGATGGCAGCACACAATATTCAACTAGCTATTTTGCAAGGTACTAGTATTCAGCTTGAAGTGACAATTAAAGGCTTCACTAGGCAGGTTATTGGACAACAGTGGTTTGTTTTGTTGACAATTGAATCATTTTTATACGGCTCCTACACAGGATGTAAAAATGTGTGTGTGTGTGTGTGTGTGAGTTTGAGCTGAGAATAACACAGATCATGTCCTCCAGCTCTCTTAAACTGACCTTCAGGCTTTGATCCTAATTGTGCATTTTGGTGACTGTCGCTTTAAATTCAAATAAGATAAAATAAGCGACATATTAAAAACAGGATTAGGGTTATCAGTGTGGAAAAGGTCAAATGTTGGCATCAGTGTGTGAGAATGCATCCGTCTATGGCAGGGGGGTCCAAACTCAGTCCTGGAGGGCTGGTGTCCTGCATAGTTTAGCTCCAACTTGCTTCAACACACCTGCCTGAAAGTTTCTAGTATACCTATAAGAGCTTGATTAGCAGCTTCAGGTGTGTTTATTGTGGTTGGAACTAAAATATGCAGGACACCGACCCTCCGGGACTGAGTTTGGACACCTCTGGTGTATGGAGACAGAATCTGAATCACACACACACTAATGTAATGTAATGTGTTTCTGGTGGTCAGTTCACAGTGATGCGGTGTTGTGCTCCAGCTCAGAGAATGTTCCGGACCGCCAGCTCTTCTGTGCTCTTCCACTTCACGCTACTGTTGGGTCTGTTCATGTCTGTGGTCACCCTAGTGGTCAACATCAACAGGTACTATAGTGACTGCTGGACTATTTTCAGCGTTAATAGCATGTCTTCTTTCAGACTGGACTTTTCTCTCCTCAGGTTTAATCCAGGCGGCTGCGGCCCATTTAGTGGCACCAGAACTGTGTTTGATGTGACGAATGATTGTAAAGAGATGCTCCCCAACTGGGCCAAGAGCACCATCAGCTACATCTCATCTGAAGCCTTTGCTTTCACTCTCATTCTGGCGGAGGTGTAAGTGTGTGTTTATTTCACAACAAGGGACAGTGTACATTAGTCAACGCTCTTCAAGATGACCCAAATTACCCCAAAGACTAGTTTTCATTGGTGGTTCCTTTGCTAGATGTCATAGTAATAAAAATACTACGTCAAACTGAACACAATACTCAAATGAACAACAACAATATAAAACAACCACATCAGACAGTCTAGTGTTGATTGACAATGCTGGTTATTAACCCTCTACCGCACGCATTTTGATACATTTATTATACTATTATTATTATTATTATTAATTACTATTAATAATTACTATTAATTATATTAATTATTATTAATATAATTACTATTATTATATTATTATACATTATATTATACTCTCTACTAGCCGGGCTTCCAGCTAACTCTATCAAGCCTCTTCAGCTGCTTCAGAATGCAGCAGCACGAGTGGTCTTTAATGAAGCTAAAAGAGCACATGTCACTCCGCTGCTCATCCGTTTGCACTGGCTGCCAGTTGCTGCTCGCATCAAATTCAAAGCTCTGCTGTTTGCCTACAAAGCAACTTCTGGCTTTGCTCCTTCTTATCTGCTCTCACTTCTGCAGATGTATGTGTCCTCCAGAAACTTGCGTTCTGTGAATGAACGTCGCCTCGTGGTTCCATCCCAAAGAGGGAAGAAAACACTTTCGCGAACTCTCACGCTCAATCTGCCCGGTTGGTGGAATGAACTCCCTAACTGCATCAGAACAGCAGAGTCACTCGCTGTCTTCAAGAAACCACTGAAAACTCAACTATTTAGTCTCAACTTCCCTTCCTAATCTGCAATTGCCTCTCTGAATATCACACTAACTGTACAAAAAAAAAAAAATACTAATACAACTAATACTTCCCTTCTTAGACTTTACAGACCTGAAACTTGCCTACAGCACTTCTTCATTGTTGCTCTTAGTTGTGTAAATTGCTTCCTTGTCCTCATTTGTAAGTCGCTTTGGATAAAAGCGTCTGCTGAATGACTAAATGTAAATGTAAAGATATATATATATATATATATATATATAGATATATATATATATATATATATATATATATATATATATATATATATTGTAGCGAGGCAGAGGGAAAACAGCGGCACAACAGGATGAGTTTACAGACAAGTCCCCGGAGGGTGCTTTATTTACAAAGTGAATGTGCTGTAAAAGGTGCTCTTCTTTAGGGTGAGGTGCTCTGGTGCTCCGGGAAGTAGGTGAAGGACGGTGAGTAGTCGGGTGCAGGATCGTCACGAGCTGGAGTCCGCTAAGGAGAGACAGAGAGACAAGCATTAGCACAGGGAGTCATAGAAGGAATGAAGCTCCTCTTCTCCTGGCGTAGGTTGGGCTTATATGTCTCTCCGCTTGATGAGCTCCAGCTGTGTCCGATCCTGGCTTGATGAAGGTCCAGCTGGGTGAAATTTGCGACCAGGGCGACGTGGCATATAATTGCTCGTTACAATATATATATATATATATATATATTGTATATAACAGATGGTGAGAATTTGGCCAGGGACACAACCCTACTCTTTACAAGAAGTGCCATGGGATTATTAATGAGCACAGGGAGTCAGGACCTTATCTAATCCAAAAAACAATGCTCACTGTCAGTATAGTGTCCCCTTCACTATACTGGGGCATTAGGACTCACATAGACCACAGGTTGAGCGCCCCCTGCTGACCACACTAACACAACAGCCAACAGCAACCTAGTTTATGTGGTCTCCCATCCAGACACTGACCAGGCTCAGCCCTGCTTAGCTTCAGTGAGGGAGCGCTCTTGGGCTGCAGGTTGATACGGCTGTGTCTGTATAGTCATGAACACACTTGTTTGTAGAGCAAGTAATTTGACGATTTTCTGACTGAGGTTTACTATTCCTATACTCATTTCTACCATAGAAAACTAAATCAGAAGTTCTAAAACAATTGCAAAAATAAGTGCACTTAAGCATTGCAGAATAAGGTCAATAACCACAATATTAATACAGGATTAACATTTGTTTACATGCAACATTTGTTACAGTGTCATTCTGACGTCATATGTGTCTCGAGGACGAGCGAACCGTAAAACCATTGAGAGGCTGAAGGACATGCTGGTGATGGTGAGCACAACAATTATCTAAATACAGTCAATATACTTACATTGGTTCTCTTTCTAATAACAGATGTTATTTTGTGCTAAATCACATACGAAAAAAGACAAATAGATATGGGAGATTTTTTTTATCTTTTGTCATATTTTTTATATTTTCATATTTTTTGTCAATATTGTTCGCCATCTTTAGAGACCAGCTAGTTAGTTCTGTGCAGGTATACCTCACTTCTCTGACCTCTAAAGGTGCTCTAGCGACAATCGCTTAAGGCCATGGTTTTTAGCCTCCTTGTTAGAGCAACCAACTCCCACGCGGAAGGTCGCCGGTTCGATCCCAGCTCGGAGCGAGTTGGGTGGTGTAGGACCAGCAGGGTTACATATACACAGTTGAAAACATAATTCGCCCTCCTGTTGTTTTCATTTTTAAATATTTCCCAAATGATGTTGAACAGATTCAGGAATTGTTCACAGTATTTCCTCTATTATCTGTTCTTCTGGAGAAAGTCTGATTTGTTTTATTTCAGCTAGAATAAAAGCAGTTTTTAATAGTTTTAAAGCCACATTAAGCTCAAAATTATTCGCCCCTTCAGCAATATTAGTTTTAGATTGTCTCCAGAACAAACCACTGTTATACAATGACTTGCCTAATTACCCTAACTTTACCCTGATTACCCTAGTGAAGCCTTTACATGTCACTTTAAGCTGAACACTAGTGTCTTGAAGAATATCCAGTCTAATATTTTGGGCTGTCATGATGGTGAAGAGATGGGCTATTCATTTATTTTCTTGTCGGCTTAGTCCCTTATTTATCTGGGGTCGCCACAGCGGAATGAACCACCAACTTATCCAGCACGTTTTTACGTAGCGGTAGCGAATGCCCTTCCAGCCGCAACCCATCTCTGGGAAACATCCATACACACTCATTCACACTCATACACTAAAGACAATTTAGCCTACCCAATTCACCTGTACTGCATGTGTTTGGACTGTGGGGGAAACCGAAGCATACACATGCGAACGCAGGGAGAACATGCAAACTCCACACAAAAATGCCAACTGACCCAGCCGAGGCTCGAACCTCTTGCTGTGAGGTGACAGCACTACCTACTGCGCCGCCGAAATGAGTTACTATATTTGCATATTCTAATAAAAAAAAAAAAGAAATGAGCTACTAAAATGTGTAGAAATTAATGTTTATAAATACATATATAATGTTGACCTTTGTTGAGCTGGTTTGAAAGATTAATTATTGTGAAACTCTTGTAGGAAATGCTCTGATGTTAATAATAACGTCTGCTCTTCTGCATTTTGTCTACAGTGCAGCTCTGATAAACGTTTCCTAGTGAAGCAGCACTCGACCATCATGAGACGCCGGCAGAGACCACGCTAACATCACAACAGGAAAATAAACACAATAGCATAAAACCAAAGCAGACGGCAACTTCAATAAAATAAATAAATAAATAAATAATAAAAAATAGAATGAGGATAAACTGTTGAAACTATTGAGCAGAAATGATCTGGCTATCGAGCATGTTGAGGGATGTAAACAAAACCAATGGTCCTGATATATTTCCTGATTTACATTTTTAATTTCTAAAGCTTCTGAGAATCCAAACAGAGCCACATATGTATGAATAATCTTATGAAAGCTGTTTGAACATGAAGTTATGATTGACTTGCCTCCTGTTACAGATATGAAATAGTTTAATAATGAGCAGGAGATGTTCATTGAAACGGTCTATAATAGATGGTTTATTATAACCCTGCTGTTTTGTATTCTGTTGCTTTAAATGCTTGAGCTTTCTAAAGCAGATGTGGATTCTGATTGGCTGTCAGTATGTTAATGATATGCATTAGCCTGTGCTCTCTTGATTACATCATTTGCAGTATTTTATGGGTGTGGGCGGAGCTTGTTTGTGCACTTTGCAACTCTAACTTTGATTGGTGAAAATTTCTGCACTGCATCCTGGGTAATGCAGTTTTTTTTGCATACAATCTGTTGTTAAACATGATTATCAGTAAAAGTGAGTGAAATAAATGGGAACAAATAGGTTAACCGAAGCCAAATACAACTGACGGAGAACGTCAGAGCTCACAATAAGTCCATCTTTAATGATTTAGGAGTAAAACAATTTACTTCTGGCACTGTTTAATATCAGTTTCCCTAATGTTATTATATTAATTTTTACTAATTTTATTTTAAGAATCCTTTTTTTTTTTGTTATATTCCTCATCCTTGGTGTGAAATATCAACAGTACTGTAAAGCATGTGTGCCTGTGATGTTTGAAACATTTTATATTTTAAATTAGTGTCGTATTTATTATATTTTTATAACTCATTGACAGTATTATCCACATGCAACAATTTCCTTATGCTTCATTTTGTGCATTTGTGTATTTTTCAATAAAGTGCGAGGCTTATTTCAGTTTCATTTATTTAATAATAATTTTAATTTAAAAAAAATATTTTGATATTTGTGTCACTTTTTCTAATCTTAAATATTTAAATGTGTGTATATTGTATGTGTGTGTTTGTAAAATTAAATGTAATAATTCTGTTCTGCTTTGAGCATTTATGTGTAAGTGCATGTGTGTTGTGTTTTTCAGTATAATTTATTTCATAATAGCCTTTTTGAATTACATTTAATTAGATTTTAATAATGTTATAATGAAAAATAGTGTAACTTTAGTAGTAAACCTTAAAATATGTGAAATTTTAAAACATTTTATTTGACTTCAGTCGATGTTTATTTCAAGTAATGAACATGTTTTGTGCGTTTTTTGTGTACAATTATGTAAAAATGACTCCTTACGTGAAGCTCCATCATTATCTCTGATGAACACAAGATGAGAAAGACCTGCGGCTCGCTGATATCACACACACAAACATATACACACACATACACACAAATACAAACACACACTCTCTCTCTTTTTTACTCACACACACAATGTCAGTATGTGAGTGTATGATGAGCCGAAGCCTGTGTTTTCTCTTCATGTCACTTGGCGGTGAGTTAAAGAAACATTCACTACAGAAGATAATCAGCTAAATATTCACAAAGTTTAAACCTCACTGTATTTATGCACTGCATTCTCCTTTGTGTCGCAGTTTCATTGGGACCTGTGGCCAAAATCGGTACTCCTATTATTTCTTGATTTCACTAAGCTTGTGCTGAACGCTCGTTTAAATGTCTTTTTATTATTTTACAAACATTTTCTTGTTGTTTATTGCACTTGACTGCTGTTTTTTTCATAAAGTTTGTTCACATGTTATTTTGCATTGTACTTTTTTATAGAGTAACTAATGCACATAATTAAGTACTAAGTAATATTAATTACTACATGTATATGGCGAGGGTTGATGATGGTTGTTTAAAGTAATTTGCAAGTAATTATGCAAGATTTTTTGTTATTCTACAGTAGGTACATGCAGATCTGGCTGGATTATACATGAATATTAATCAGTTACTGATTACAAATTATATGGCAGAATGTGCAGTCGATATTATAACTTCTTAAATTATTCATTTATGGTAATCCAAATTATTTTTGTGCTCTTTTGTAGATTACGTTTAGATTACATTTGGATTACTTTTGTAGAATAATTTTGAAATACATTTAAATTACTTTTGTAGATCATGTTTGGATTACATTTAAATTACTTTTGAGCTCTTGTAGATTACTTTTGAATTACATTTAGATTACTTTTGTTCTCTTTTGTAGAGAACCTATTGATTACATTTACATTTATTTTGTGCTCTTTGTAGATTACTTTTAGAAAACTTTTGTGCTTTTCGTAGATTACTTTTTGATTATGTTTAAATTACCTTTGAGCTCTTTTGTAGATTACTTTGATTACGTTTAGATTACCTTTGTGCTCTTTTGTAGAGAAATTATTGATTGCATTTCCATTACTTTTGTAGATAATTATTTTGGATTACATTTAGATTAATTTTGTGCTCTTTCGTAGATTACTTTTAGATTACGTTTTGATTACTTTTGAAGAATACTTATTGATTACTTTTACATTACTTTTGTGCTCTTTTGTACATTACTTTTAGACTACATTTAGATTACTTTTGTGCTCTTTGTAGATTACTTATTGATTACATTTAGATTACTTCTTAGCTCTTGTAGATTACTTTGGATTACATTTAGATTAATTTTGTGCTCTTTCATACATTACCTTTGGATTACATTTAGATTACTTTTGTGCTCTTTTGTAAATTACCTTTGGATTACATTTACAATACTTTTGTGCTCTTTTGTAGATTACTTATAAATTATATTTAGATTACTTTGGTGCTCTATTATACATTACTTTTGGATTACATTTACATTACTTTTGTGCTCTTTTGTAGATTACTTATAAATTATATTTAGATTACTTTGGTGCTCTATTATACATTACTTTTGGATTACATTTACATTACTTTTGTGGTCTTTGTAGATTACTTATTGATTACATTTAGATTACTTTTGTGCTGTTTTGTAGATTACCTTCTGATTACATTTACATTACTTTGGTGCTCTTTTGTACATTAGCTTTGGATTACAGTTAATTATTTTTGTGCTCTTTTGTACATTACTTATTGATTACATTTAGATTATTTTTGTGCTCTTTTGTACATTATTTTTGGATTTCATTTACATTACTTTTGTGCTCTTTTGTACATTATTTTTGGATTTCATTTACATTACTTTTGTGCTCTTTTGTAGATTACTTTTAAATTACTTTTGTGCTTACCCTTATCTGCCGTCACATATATTGAAACAGGATAATCTTGTGATATTTTGACAAATAGAAAGTAAAAATACCTTCATTCTTCATCATCATCAAGAGCCTCAACATCATCTGTTTAAAGTGCAATGATGGACAGTCAATGCTTTACAATAGTTCTCTGTTAGTGTTCGCTTAGAGTAACACTGAATAACACTAAAGCACAGCTGATGAGTTTAAAACATTCACTTCATATTAGGTGCATTTAAAAAAACAACAAGATTACAAAAAACAATATTGAAGAACATTAAATTCACAGCAAATATTCAAATATTTCATTTTAAAAACATCAGATAACAGCAACAATGTAAATGAGAAAATCACAAATGTATATAAGAATTGTGAACAACTTATTGCCATTGTGTAAAAATCATGTGCAATCATGTAACTGATAAAAAGTAACAGTAGTCTGATTACGAGTATTTCTAAAAGTAGTTTAATTACATGTACTGGATTTTTTGTAAACCTATTACGTAATCTAGATTACATATAATCCGCTAATACTCTCTGACACATGAAACGAGTAATAATGACACCGTAAAATAAAGTAATAAGACATACTCAAAAGCTGCATGAGTGTTTAATAATGATCAGTGTGTGGTTTTTAAGTGTGTTTGTGCTCTACAGCTGGTTTGCGTCTTAAACCGGTTCTCTCTGGACCCCGTCTCGCTTATCGAGGCTCTCAAGTCCAGTTCGAATGCAAAGTTCCAGACTGGCTTTCACCTTTAACCTTTGAACTCTGGAAGGACACTGGAGGTCTCATTGCAACAGAGCACAACGTCAACGTGACCTTTGACCTCCAGGTCACCGAGGGGTCAGAGGGCGAATACTACTGCAGGGTGACCAACGGAGGACTGAGCAGCAACACGATCCCCTTCCAGACAGTGAGTGAGTACACTAATACTGACAGTCTTTATTTTAATAGTGCGCATTATTAATGTACAAGTAAAATCAAAACTATGCATGCTTTAAAAGTCCAATTTCAGCACAGCGTGTATTAGTTTGTGTGTGAACAGTGTTGTGGTGTCAGTTCCAGTGTTGGGCGCTCGTGTATCTGCAGACCCACACCCGCCGCTGCTGTATGAAGAACAGAAGCTGGTTCTGCGCTGTGAGGTCCGGAAGGGAACACATCTGTCCTTCAGCTGGTTTTATAATGAGCAGCAGGTGAATCCGTCTTCAGGACTCTACCGCATCAATGCAGACACACTCACGGTGGACAGCGCAGGTGAACGGCATGCTGGGATATACTCCTGCATGGCTGAAAACCAGGTGACGGTCAACCCGAGATTCTCCAGCAGCCCCAACATACAGGTCATCGTCAAGAGTACGACATTTGCTTTTAAACTAATTTTATTGTTGAAGAGCTTTAACCCATGTGTGCTGTTGGGTCGTGTTCATCCACGTGGGTTGATTTTGAGTCTTAACTTGGCCATGACTTTCTGTGTGTTTCAGCAAATAGGATGATTTTAATGGACAACTCTTATTTTGACACATATTTTGGGAAGTTGCTACGAAAATGTTCAAAAACTCAACAGTACACTTTGATTGACTCTCCTTTGCTGATGTTGGCGCTGTTTTCGACCCCTTTTGACTTCCATTATAATCACATTTATTGATTGCAAACTGTAAAAATTACACATTTTACCTCTTTCCATCAGGAAAAGCCAGCAACAATCAAGAATGCATGATGTCATGGCTTTACAATCAATAAATGTGATTATAATGGAGGTCAATGGAGCAAAAACAGCCCCAACATCACCAAGGGGAAGTCAATCTGAACAACACACACAGGTTAAACAGCAGGTGTGTTTATGTTTCAGTGCTGATGTTGTGTTTTTCAGAGCACATCTCTCAGCTGTCTGCGTCTCTGTGGGTGTGGTGGGACGGCGCCGCCCTGCAGGCCAACATCAGCTGTGCTGTGGCGTCTGGCTCTCCGCCGCTGCTCTTTACTCTCCTGCTGGACGGACGGCAGCTGGAGCAGAAACATGTGGATGCTCTGAGCTCCAGCTTCTCTGTGCCAATCCTTATGGGGCAAGATCTGGGTTCCGCTCAGTGTAGAGCTCAAACAGACACCCGGATGCTGCTGTCGGACCCTGTGCACTTACACGTGGGTGAGCGCAGAGATACTAAAGCCTAGTGCACACTAAGTATCGAGTTTAGTACCAATCAGTCCTGAACATTTCACAAACGTTCATTTCCAGCTCACATTACTAGCATCAACACTTGACAGAGGGCGTGTCTGAAGTTCAGCCTGACGTGAGCGTCATAGCAGCGTCAGCCAATGAATGTAGTCCACAATCAGCTACAGTATGAGCTGGGGTATTTGCATAAAGCAATCTGATTGGCTGAAGCTTCTGTTGGCACTTGAAAAGTTTAGAAATTTCCCAACTTCTGCAGCGAGCAACGCCACTGAAGCGGTAAAGATAGGATACACGACCAGCCAGAAGCATGATCTGCACATCAATATATTTATTGATATACCTGCTAGACATGCGGATGAACCCGTCTCATACAGCTCAAACTCATCACGCTAACTGTCTTGGTTAAGTCTTTAAAATAATAAAGATAATCAAATTCTAAATAAAATAATGAAATGTTAATAGTAACATTTACAAATTTAAAATAATTTAGTATTGCTAAATTAATAAACTAAAATAAAATCTAAATGCTAAAAATCATGCTAATGCTAAATTAAATGCTAAATGCTAATTAAAATGAAAAATGTTGCCTTGCCAAATAACTGAAATAGGAATAAGTGATCCCTCGCTATAACGCAGTTCCCCTTTCGCAATTGTTTTGTGCAATTTGACATGCTTTTTTTTCTGCAGCGCCTGTGTTCTGCATCTTGATTGGCTGTAGACCCATGTCAATGTCTGTGCCGTGTCTGTGTAATAGGTGCTGTGCAGGTAAATCTCACTCCTCTGACCTCTAAAGGTGCTCTAACGACAAATGCTAGAGGCCATGATGTTTAGCCTCCTTGTCAGAGCAACCGACTCCCATGCGGAAGGTTGCCGGTTCGATACCAGCTTGGAGCGGGTTGGGTGGCGTAGGACTGGCGGGGTTACATCTGTACACTACAGCAGTAGTCCCCAACCTTGTTATCACCGCGGACCGGTCAACGTTTTTTCAATTTTACAACGGACCGGTGTGGGCTGGGGGGGTTTGGTTCTTCACGTGCATCCAGGTTAATCATGAACAACTCAGTGCGCATGCGCTAGTCGCACTATCGCGGTCTGATTAGGTTTCAATCAAGGTTTATAGGCATCAAATACATAACATCTGTGCCAAACATTTCAACTGACGAACATATTAACAATAATACAACCGTATAGCCCAATTACATGTATGCATTGGCATGTTACAGCCCTAATGAGTATGATTATGTGAAACTCCATACAGATACATATTGCAATGATTTTGGGTTACTTAGCGATTCACACACACATAACGTTATATGCACAATCCTTAAATGCTCTGCTGATTTGGACTCTATATTACCTGTTTTATAGCTTTAAACTGTAAACAACCACCACTGCGCTATATTCTAGCGATCATTCTTCCCGCTTCGTGGTGGATTTTGACATAGTCCATTTAACTAAGATGGTGGGGGTGAGTGGAAGAATCCAAGTCGCGGGGGGAATCTTTTCTACAGAAATAATTTATGATCTCTTTTGTGGCCCGGTACCAATTGATCAATTCAATCGCTAGCAGTGTGGCTCTGAAGTGTTGGACTGTATGTTTGCAAGCTTTCTTCGAAACTGTCGACGAAACTTTCTGCACTGACAAAGTCACCTGCAGTAGCACCCAAAAGGCAGAGGAATATATACTTGTATAGCCTGTCTTATGTGTATAGTTAAGTATAGAATATGTTAGTTATGAATAGGTTTTTTGAAATAGCTCTTATGTCCGGTGTTGTGTTTTTATTTATGATTATTTTATGCTGCCCTGCAAGACATGACATTTGGTTCCTCTGTATGTCCACACATGTAGCGGAATGACAATTTAGCTCAACTTGACTTGGCTTGCTAACCATCGCACAAAAAGCTGAACTTCTGGACATGCTAAAGGAAGATAGAAGTTACGCTGCCGTTGGGAGCCATTACAGAATAAATAAGCGAAGATCAAATGGTTTTGTTTTGGTTTCATTCTGTAATGCTAAGATTTGAATTTGAGAGTGTTTAAACAGTGTGTGAATGTTAAAGCCTGTCTGAGAAAAGTGTATAAAGTGTGTAGTGAGGGGGTTTACAGCCTTAAAACATCTGTAATAATTGTAAAAAAAAAGCAGACTACTAAACGGATTTCGCCTATTGTTAATTTTAGAACAATCTCCTGGGGTACACTGATGCACTGACGCTAATGAACTGAAAACCTTAATAGTAGTATCTAAAATCTCTCTGTTAACCCATGTGTGTCAGTTCCTGTAGGTGGCGCTGTGCATGTGATGGTGACGTACCTCCATGACGTCAATGCGATGACAGCAGCTGCTCTTCTCAAATGCGTCCCAGAAAGAGGAACGTTCCCGCAGTTCTCCTGGTCTGTGAACCATTCCTCCCTTCCAGCAGGGGGCGACGCTCATGCTGTCAGTGATCGCGGACAGATCTTAATCCTCACAGATATTAACTCTGGCTATTATCGATGTTGTGTACGGGACAGTTTCAATGAGAGCTCCGTCTGGCTGGAGAGTGCAGAAGTCTTCGTTCAGAGGACAGGTGAGCGATTTACATTCATTCGTTCATTTTCTTTTCGGCCTAGTCCTTTTATTAATCTGGGGTCGCCACAGCGGGATGAACCGCCAACTTATCCAGCATATGTTTTACGCAGCAGATGCCCTTCCAGCTGCAACCCATCACTGGGGAACATCCATACACTCCAGCTGATGGTGCTTCTGTATGTTCTTTACAGATCCTGCATTGCCGTCGATGGAGGTCATCGCATTAGTCTTCTGTGGTTTTCTGTCGATGGTGATCGTCGGAGGATCAATTTTTATGTTCTGGAACATCGAGCGCAAAAACCACACCTGCAAACAGCACAGCAATCGTCAGTTCACACTTATACTATTTAGTTTTCAGTTTTTTCAATTTCAGTTTTCTTTATTTAATATTTTTTTTTAATCTAATATGCTAATATTTTTAATCGAATACACTTGTTTTTCAGCCCAAACTCACAAGAAAACAATAATATTTTACGTATTGTCAGAAAAGTGTCTAATTTGTATAAATTGATATGATTTATTAGTATGAAAAAGTGGAGTTTTTAAAGTATCCCAGCAGGCACACAACATAAGATGTTATTATTAGGTTAGATTTAGATCATGACGTCAGGTGACCAAAATTCAACGTCTAGTCAGCGTCTAAGGACAATGTTATTTTGACGTCCAATAACCACATCAAATTACGTTGATTTTTGGTTGATTTTAGGTTGTGTTGGAAAATGACCAAAATCCTACATCTGATAGACGTCACAGTGGTAGCGTCCATACAACGTAACATGATAAGACGTTGATATGTGGTTGATTTTAGGTTGAACATTGAACATTGACGTTGGCCTGCCGTTGAGTTGTGATGTCAACCCTATTTTCATTTCCAAACAAAATCTAACGTCTCCATGACGTTGGGGTACGTTAGGGTACAACATCAATATGACGTCATGTTGACGTCCTGTGCCTGCAGGGATAAACCTAAACCAACCCCTCACTGTGGGATGAGCAGATTGTACTAAAATGTATGAATGAGATTGTCCTAATTATATTAATTAGCCACTATCAAACAGTTACGATTGTTGTTGTTTTTAGCCATTTAGAAATGGATTTTTAATTAGTTTAGTTTTTTATGTTTATTTCTGTTTTAGCTTAGTTTATTTCCAGTTACTAACGTCAGTGCTGTTTGTTGACAAGGCCACATGTTTAAATTCAGTTAGAATTTATGATATTAAAATATTATTGGTCACATGTTACAATAAGGTTCATTAGTTAATGTTAATTAATGCATTTACTAACATGAACAAACAATGAACAATACATTTACTACTGTATTTGTTCATGTTAGTCAGTGTTAGTTAATGAAAATACAATAGTTCATTGTTAGTTCATGTTAACTCATGGTGGATTAACTAATGTTAACAAGCATTGACTTGGATGTTAATAATGCATAAGTAAATGTTCAGTTATGATTAATAAATGCTGTACATGTGTTGTTCATGATTAGTTCATGTTAGTAAATGCATTAACTAATGAACCTTATTGTAAAGTGTTACCCTATTATTTTAGTTCTGTTGTTCTTAATTGTGTTTGGTTTTAACATTTTTTATTAGATTTTGTCATAATCTTTTTGGTTAAATATTACTGTTTAGATCCAATTTGTTAATTAATTTCCATATGTTCAGAATTTGTCAGTTTTCAGAGTGTTTTCACGGTTAATTTTGATGCTTTTCTCTCTTCATTTGTCAGAGTGTGTCCAAACTGACCGTATAATGTGAGTTTTCCTAAAGTGTATTTATTTTTTATCTTATAACATATTCTTTGTGTTATTTGTATAATATGGTCTACATTAAAGTTTTCCTCATGTGTTGACCTCAGCAGTGTGAACGCTCCAGCAGCTGATGTTTCCCCGGAACCACAATCTCTGGAAATGAAAGCTGTAATCATGGAATTTGAGGCATAAAACCGAGCTGGAGGACAGAAAGCAGCAGTTTACCTTCACCCTCAACACACGTCTGGAATCAATTCGACAACATCAACTGTTTACAAAAACCATTAAAGGGAAATTTGTATATCACTGTTGTTGGGATACAGAGAACTGGTGTATTTTTGGACCAGTATGTAACTGGGTCAATAGACTACCAATAAGCTTCAGGATAAACGGTACCAATAATTGCACTGCTTTGTCTTTGAATACTTTGCTGTTAATTACAAACTAAAACTTGCTGCTTATTATTTAACAACTCTAAATAATGTCTGAGAATGCAACATGAATGCAGTATACTGCAAAAAAAAATTTTTGAAAAAAGAGTTTTTGTCTTGTTTCTAGTCCAAATATCTAATTATATTCTTAAATCAAGAAGCATTTTCTAGCATTTTATTTCAAGAAGCAAAAAATGTTGTCTTGTTTTTAGAAATAGTGAGTCAAAACTGAGTTTTTTCTTAAAACATGCAAAATAATCTAACAATGGAGTAAGATAAATAATCTAGTTTTCACTTTGAAATATGTTGATTTACTCACTGTATTATTTTGCTTATTTCTGACATATTTCTGAATACTTCTTGCTTGTCTAGAAAATGCTTCGAGTTATTAATTTTAGGATATTTGGACTTAAAATTAGACAAACGCTACACAATTTTTGCAGTGTGTAGTGTGAACAAAGGTGGCAATGTTATACAAGAAAACATTTACAAACAAAAACACGCACCCAACTCAAGTGAGGTGCAGGATTTATTTCTCCATCCTTATGTTAGCATGCAGCTGTTTGTAAACTGTGCTAAAGCTGAACAGTAATTAAAGATGACATGTTCAACATATCCTTGCATCAACTTATAGAGAATAGTGTTGAAAACTTTATCGATAAGAACCAGTATTAATATGCTGTATCCATATCGGTATATCCACACTGTTGTCATGTTAGCATACGGTTTTGAAGGCCTTCATTAGCAGATTCAGGTGTGTTTTATTACAGTAGGATTAGAGATAAACCCATCCAACAACTGTGACATCTTTGATCTCGTGTTTTTAAATTTTACGTAGGTTTTTTGAGATTGTAAAGCTTTAATATAATAAATAAATGTAAAATTCACAGAATTTTGTTTGCTTGGAAAATTGATAATAGAAAATATTTTAAAAGCATGTCTAAACCAGTGGCGTTGCGAGGGGGGGGCTTTGGGGGCTTAAGCCCCTGATGTATTGTCAAAAGCCCCTGATCTTTTGGATTATGTTACTCTTAAATAAAAATAGGTTGTATAACATTTATTGTGTTATCCAAGTACTTAAAATGAGCACATACATCACGCACATTCCACTAAGCGCAGCGTTTGTGTCGGTTAGTCAGCTGTTCAGCAGTACCTGTTTCTACCGGTAGGTGGGAGTGGCACTGTTGTCACATAGTGTCACTGCACAAATCCCGCCACAGTCTTCATTCATTCATTATTTTGAGGAGCTGAAGCTGATGAGGCAATAATACAACTGTTTGGCCAAACTGAATAGCTCTAATGCTCCATTCACACGGGGCGTCAGCGTCAACGCTTCTTATTCACTTTGAATGGGTGACGTCAGGCGTTGCCGAACTGCATTGTGGATCCGTCGGCGCCGCTTCACAGGTGTTGCTCGCTGCAGAAGTTGGGACCAGCTCAACTTTTCAAGGAAGCGTCAGCCAATCAGATTGCTGTATGCAAATACACCAGCTAGGCGGCGGCCTATTGCTGACTGAATTTCATTGGCTGATGCTTCAATGACGATCGCTTCAGCCCCAACTTCAGACACGCCTTCAGTCAAGCGTTGACGCTGAAGCCCCGTGTAAATGAGGCGTAACTACTGATGAAGCTTAATATTTGTTTTCACAGAATAAATTATGTGCAGTTTTGGTGAAATAAAATAACTGTAATCAATAAAATGTGCGTCATATAAATGTAAATACATGCATATTAGTGAGATTTTTTTTATTGTACTAGCTTTATAGGTATAATGTAGATATGTAGACATAATTATCTTGATATGATAAAGCCAGTCACATCTGTTTCTGTAATAGTTAAATCACAGTCAGTTCATGTGCTTAAAATGCCACTAAATGCAGAACTTAGATCTCATTATTTAAATTAAACATTAGGTAAATAACTGCTAAAAGGTACTTTTGAGAAAAAATAACCCCCTTTTTCACCAGGCTGGCTACAGGCCTGATAATTAACATTAGTTTGGTTAGTTGGTTCCTTAACCATTGCTTATTGTTTTAATCCAATGCTCCTGCAGTGAATGTCCTTTAAACACCACTAACTTAATAAGCTTGTATTATAGTGCATATATTTATAAAAATACAGTTGTTTTACTTATTTTCTGGTTTATGGTAACTGAATGTCTTATCTGGGGTAAACGTGACGGTGTTACGGTTTAACTGGTGACCGTGTTAACTGGTGTCCCTTTCCAGATGTAAGCTATTCACGTTTGCAGATTGGCAGATTCGTCACTTTTTCACAGCAACAAAACATGTCCATACCAAATAAAGATTCTTATTACTTGGTGTCAGTGTCATTGTGTGCATTATTGATTTTAATATCTGTGTAGCAGAACAGTATATAACCAAAGTAAATAAAAAAAAATAATTAGAATTTACATGTCTTTAACAGGATTCTGTTGCATAATATTATATATGAAATATATTATATATATATTAGACATAATATGTTGCATAATAATATCGTCATTGTATTAATTTTTTGGATAAAATCTTTATTTACGTTACATGTATGAGCATGGGTCACGAGTTAACACGACTCCAAAGGCACAGGTAGACATGAGTCTAGAACTAAGAAAAAACATAGTTTGAGCAACTGATGAAGCATCGTTTAGTCACAGAGAGCTATTCTATCAGCGGGAGAGTTTGTAGAAACACGTTAACGCGAGTACATGTAACTAAACAGCATGTAAACATGTTAACATCGATGGAAACATGTTAACACGGGTCCACAACCACAGCAAGGCATGTTAACTGACAAAAATATTAAAACAGACCGCCAATTGTGTAGTTCCGAGTAGCTCAGTTAGATAAGTTGATTGATACGTGTGCTAAACCTTTTCACTACACGGGTTCGAATCCTGTTAAAGACATGTAAATTCTAATTATTTTTTTTATTTACTTTGGTTATATACTGTTCTGCTACACAGATATTAAAATCAATAATGCACACAATGACACTGACACCAAGTAATAAGAATCTTTATTTGGTATGGACATGTTTTGTTGCTGTGAAAAAGTGACGAATCTGCCAATCTGCAAACGTGAATAGCTTACATCTGGAAAGGGACACCAGTTAACACGGTCACCAGTTAAACCGTAACACCGGACTGTTCTCGAGCTGTTTTCTGGCGAATTTTCGCAGTTCAAACACAAATTTATGCATTACATGAGTCAGGAATCAGCACAGTTAATTAATCTGTTTCATCAGACTTACCTTCTGATGTTCAATCCAGTTTATTTTGTATATTTTCAAGTAGTGAAGAGGAAAAAAATGAATGCTCGGTTACGAGCTATTTAAAACTAGACGGGGGGCGGTTACGTGCAATCTGTAATCAGGGTTGCCAGGTATGCGAAAGTAAAGTAAACTAAAGTAAAGTAAAGTAAAGTAAAGTAAAGTAAAGTAAAGTAAAGTACAGTAAAGTAAAGTAAACTAAACTAAACTAAACTAAACTAAACTAAACTACCACAGTAATGGCACTCAGTAACATAATAATAATAATGATTATATATATATATATATATATATATATATATATATATATATATATATATATATATATATATATATATATTTTTTTTTTTTTTTTTTTTTTAATTACAGTTTATCCTTAGCTTGATTGTTAATACAGATTAGTGAAAGATTTGGCAACCCTACGTCTCATAAATTTAATTAACAGATTAATAACAGATTTTAGTGCTCCAATGACAGAATTTAGCTTTTATTTGTTACTCTTTCAGTTATTTCTTTATTTTATTTTGACATGATCAGTGTGGTTGTAAAGTTTTGTCTCTAGTTCATATATAGCTAATGCCAATTTTATTTACACCAGTAAGTTGCGCTGTTGCCAACTAACATCATATGTAAAATGCTGTTTTACATACGTCATAAATAGAGTGTAGTATTTTGACTACTTTAGTGGGAAAAAACACTTTTAAAATACAAGCGAAATGTATCCTCATTCAGTGTAATGTCGAAATAAAGCAAAGCTGTTCCTATAAAAATGAACGACGGTCATCATTGCAAAGAATAAAAAAATAATAATGCTCAATTTAAGAAAGGACATACTAATAATGTATAGGAGACATAAAAGACATGTACTTTTATGAATAAGGAATCCTTTTCATCGCATTCGGCATCATGAAGTTTACCAAGTTACCATTGAAAAAAAATGATCAATGTAGGAATGATTTAAAAAACACTTTTGATCATGCTTGAAGATTCTAAAGAGATGCCAAGACTATTGGTATTTTATAACAAAAAAATAAACCAATAAATAAACCAATCAATTGATAAACCAATAAATAAATAAAGCAACCAACAACTCAATAAAATTTAGATGAAATAACTTAAATATAATAAATAACTTACATTTAATAAAAATTAAATATAAAATAAAAGAGTATTTGGCACAGAATGAGAGTTGCTGCTCATCAGCATTAGTGTTGATAATGTGAGTGTGTGTGTACTGCTCATCTGTGCTATCAGTGCTCAACACATGCAGTGTTCAGGGTGGACCCGTCAGCTCTGCTCAACTGTTCTCTTTTTCTGCATGGTAATCTGCAGTCAAATACGTTATTAATAATAAAAGTTCTTCCTCTGCTGTTTGGATATTGTGCTCTTCTTCATCTGCAGTGATGACATCGATGCATCTGATTCTCATAGGTGGAGGAAATGTCTGATGAATCTTACACTTATTTTATGTTTAGCTCTTTTCTCACTTGTGTTCATCTTTGTTCATTAGGTCTGTCTGTTCTGCATGCAAGAACGGGTAAGTAGCTTTAGTTTGCATGTTTGTTTTGGCATGTATATGGTTATGGTTAGAGTTTTACATGTTCTTAAAAGATTTTGTGTTTTCAAGCATCAAAGCAATCATAGAAGAGCTTCAGCTTTATAATGTGTCCTGTGTATTTCTTCTGTGAACACTTCTGTGAAAGACA